TTCTCCTAAATCACTCGTACGCACAACTTAAGAACAGATCTGTGCGTACGAACGGTTCTTGCATGAGGCCCAATGAATCTACTTTGGAGACAGCTGAATTCTAACTGGATTGATGAGCAAAAGGCTAATCCYAGCCAACACTTAAGTGAATAGCTATCATCTTAAATCAACTCTAAACTAATAAATTTAGTATAGTTGTTTGTGATAACTAGAGCAAGAGTTTAAAAAACTACACTGCTTGGCATTTTTTTTATTCTGCTGCAGTGGAAACAAGTTTACCAGTTGTGTTTGTGTTTCCAGATTTTGTGAAAAGAGTCCGTTTCTTGGGTGTAATTCTGTTTTGGTATTTACCAAACACTAATAAAAGATAAACAATGCATCTGAGTAATAAAGAGAAAATGCATTTTGTTTTCCACAATATGTTAAAAATATGTTACTAATACATTATACACAGGAATCTAAAGACACAGCTCACTGTGTAAAACTACTCACCAAAATGTCATCATTAGTAAAATCCCTTGAGGCTACACTTTCTACTTTTTGCTTAAGCCCGTCTGCGGTCAGATCGATGTGTGTTTCGATTCTAAAGCCAAAGCGCTCAAAGAGTGAACTCAAAGCYTCTGTGTCATAAAGAGAAAAGGACAAACAGAAACATATTTGTTGATTACTTTGATTATTTTATGAGCAGCATTCACTTGTAATTAAACAAAACTGTCATTTGTATATAGATCCGCTCACACTGCTGTTGAAAGTCACAAATACATACTTGTATCCTCCTGAGTTCCCCTGCGCTCAGACAGCTTCCCATTGAAGTGTTTGTTGTTGAAGATGACACACGAACCTCGAGGGTTACGGGTCAGTTTGTAGTACTCTGTCTACAGAGCAGAAGCACAGTCACATAAAATAACCCATCATCTGATACAAAAAACAAAAACTACAAAAAAATAACATTGAGCAGATGAGAGGTACTGAGAATGTGAATGTAGATCACCTCATCAGGCTGTGAGGTCCCACTAGAATCAAGGCAAACATTTGATTCATCATCTAAAAGACAAAAACAGAATGATTGTGATGAAAACACATGAGAAAGTGTCTAACAGTGATCACACCTGGACAATCCTAGTCTTTGAGGACACACACATTACTTGTTTCTCTGCTTCAACACACCTGATGTGGACGAGTGATTGATTACAAAGCTTCTGCAGAACTTGAAGAGGTAAACATGGGAAACAAGTGAAACATTTCAGGATAGTGGCCCTTGAGAACCAGGATTGCCCACCCCTGCTTAGGCACCAAAAAATAAGTAGCTAAGAAATAATAACTGACAGTCGCTGCAAATGCTTCTGTTAARAGCCTATACGCCATGGCTATTAGTGCCATACTTCCATTAAAATTCAGGCCACGAGCATCACTTCCAGGTCCTGTCTACCGCGTGTTGTTTTTAGCATTAGCTCCTAGAACTAGACCATGAATACGTCATAAAAGTTAAAGCATCTGCGAGCTACTGGTACAACAAGTGAGTTCTGTTGTGGGCCGTTGTGTCCACTAACCTTAATCAGACTTTGAAACCCTATTTAAGCATCAATGAAAAGTTAAGATATAATTTATTTTGAAAAACCAACACTGCGGGTTCTTGTGCACAGAGCGAGGCTGTAAGCGCTGTCTGTGTGTGTAGTCCTCACAAAGATAGCAAGGCATGGATGTGTGTAGGGCTGCCACAAATGATTATTTTTATAGTCGATTAATCACTGATTATTTTTTCCAATTAGTCGACTAATCGGATCATACGTTAATTGAATATAA